TTTTATTTATTACATAAAGGGTAATCGAAGAAGGGTTAAATCTGTATTTCCCCTTCAGATGGTTCTGTTTACCCGTCTGCCTATTCCAATGAAGCATCTGAAGGGGAAATACAGACACTACTTGCTCTATTAACAAATAAATTAAATTTAAGCTATAATCAGATGAACCAGATTTCTGGCTGGATAGTCCTGGAGGATGCTGTATAAGTAGTGTTCCTTGGGCAGTCATTCTAGTGATCATCAGAAATTGTTCTGTTTCCAGCAGCTGTGCATGGTTATTTAGGACTAAGGATTAACTTTAATTAGAGAGGTATGCCAGGTTCTAAAAGGCCAGGATCCAAATATGTATTTATAACTTTTGTATTTGATGGTGTCCTGAGAACTACTGAGCCAGGTTGGAGAGATGAATCAGCAGTTGTGTTCCTGTGGGGTGACTGGATACAATACAGCATGTGGCTGGGGGAGAAGCAAGGTGGGAAATGGTGGGGGTGGAAATTGTGCACATTTCTTCATTCCAGCTCAGGAGTCATCTTGCAGCTGAAAAAAGCATGGAGGACTTCTGAAGCTTACCCAAGCCACTTGATATTTCATTATACCATTAAGTACAAAGCAATGTGATACTTGAATTTGAATCTTTAAATAGTTTACAAACATGTATTTATTCATCCCAGGAAAAAAAGGTGGTGGTAGTTAATTATGAGCTGTGTCTTCTAAATGTAAGAGGAATTTGTAGGTCACCCAAAGCATTGATATTAAGGCAAGATCTGGATTTCAAGAGTTCTTGTCAAAAACCACACCCCTCTCCATAACTGATAAAGTTGGCGACCTCATTATTAGGAGCAACCTTGGAAAAACATCTGACTTACGAGTTGCCTAAATGTTCACATTCTTATCTCTGGACAGCTGCTGGTTCAAGGCAGCCATGAAAGATTCAAATTTAATTAAGGCTTTTCATAATTCTGAAGAACATCTTGCTCACAGTGAATATGTCTGCTAAATATTATGTTCTTTTTGGACACAGTAAGCTATAGTTTTACATACAGAAAGTAGGTTAAGAAATTTGCAAGGGATATTGGCTTTAAGCACAATGTTCTACCAAAGATTTTTCATTTTATTTGAAATGCAAATCTCGGATTGGGATTTATAGGGTAAAGCTAGCTGAGCAAAATAAATTTAGGGCGTTCAGACCAGTTTGCTCTGTCTGCACTTCCTGGAAGATCTTATTACTTAGGTAATTATAACAAACAGGGTTGCAATATCTTTATCTGTGGGCTGGGCTCTAAATTAGTATGAGCGTGTGGCTTAGAAGGGATGATAATAATTTAGATTTACGTCTGCTTAACAGTAGAACTTTGGCTATTAATAGTGAGCAATTTTTACTGATCAGGCAAAAAAGTAAATTCTTTTCTTCTTAGGGACCTGAAAAGGTGAGTAGATTGGTTCTTGTATTTTGCTGGTATATAAATTAATCTAATAAATGCTGAAGGTTAGAGTTTGCTAATATTAAAGCTTGTACTGTATTGTTAGAGTTTTTGTTTGGTCCTTACCAAAGCTGAAAAAAATCATTTTTCAAAATATACATATATTTTTATATAGGTAGGTAAGTCATGGTGTTCTGCATCTGTTGATGTCATTCAGGAATGAAAACTGTAAAAGGAATTGCAATTAAAATACCAGCAAATAGATGGATCCTGTCTGAGGCACTCAGCATGCCTTGAGATTGATACAGGTGTCTTGTTAGTTAATACTAATAAAAAAAGTATCCCCAATTGCAGGTATTTCTGTAGAACTAGATCAGAAATGGTAACTGAAAGCATAGGAGATCTAACAAGCATAGGAGATCTAACAAGCTATTTTCATAATATTGCTCAGAACAGTCAAACTCTAAGAAGGGAGTGTCTGGGAAAGTAAGACTTGCCTGAAGCACAAGCAACAGGTCTATCTAGAAAAAGATGTCAAGCAAGTAATATTACATTATTGCTCTGGAGCAGAGAACCTTGCTTTTATTAATAAATCGTTGTTTGATCAGCAGGTTTTACTCTAGCTTAATGCAGTTAAGGAGCACATACACTGTGGATACAGGTGAGAAAACAGGCAGAGTGTGGAGGCTGGGAGGAGATAGAAGACTTAGTTTTGGTGGTATTTTTCAGCAAAACTTTCTGGTCTGTGCCAAGGTCTTGATTGAAGGTTTTTCTATGAGTAAAATTTCAAGTTTGTAATGTAATGTATCAGCATTTCCTGTACCTTTTTCACTACAGATGGTCAAATACTGTATCTGATGTTTAGAAGAAATAGTAGTCCTGCATTTCTTGTTAATAACAACTGTGTATTGCTCTAGCCACCTTAAGCATGCGGAGCAGTAGCTTACAGCACAAATAGAGCATGCAGTGTGATCTAGCAATAGAAACTCTATGCTATTTTTAGTATTTTTCACTCTTTTTCTCCCTTCTAATTTTGAGCCAGTCTACTGTCCTGATTTACCAACACAGCTGGTGGCCATAGATTTCTGGGGGAGTGGCTGGTGGCCACATCCGCCAAAGGAGCAAGGTAGCCTAGGTGCCTCTTCGGCAGCTGCTTACTGTAGGTGGATTTCCTTTCACTGAGGTGGTTATTACCGATGTTAGGGTTGCTTTGAACTAGGGCAAATATTGCAAGGAAGGAGGCTCATTGCAGTTGAGAATTGGGTATCTCTAAAGTTTTCAGTGAATCTACAAAGCTACTGGCAGGTAAATGTGACAACAGAAGATGGAAATCTATCAAAACCAACAAATTGAATCAACAGAATCAGAGGGAGTGTCTGTAAAGTTCACATGTGTAAGCATTCTGAAATTTTAAGTTTATATGAGCTGACTTAATGACTTTCCAGTCATTCAGATTATTCTGAGCATAATTTGTGTTATTTCCAATACCATTAAATGAAATATTTGGGTCAGATGCATTTTGGAGAAATTGTTACATTTAGCATTGTTCATACTTAAATTATTATTTTGACAAAAATGGAGAGACCAAAACCAACCATTAATCTTTGCCTTGGTGACACTAAAGATTTTTCTTCCGTTTTCTGATAAGGCATTCTCATATTGCTCTTCAGATCAATTTGATCTGAAGTTAAATAATGGCTTACCCATTACGACAAGCTATAAATGGCAGAGCTCAAATTAGAACATAGTAGTTTCTGACTCTTATTCCTGCATCTCTCCCTCTAGATAGTGGTGTTGTATACGTTGACTAGAATGGACATAGGACACGCACCTTACTGATAACGCAGAGGTTATTAATAAATTAGCTTTCTTTGTGTATATTTCACCAGCACCGTGGAGAAAAGCCTGCATCTTGGGCGTCTTGGTTTGGAAGGGAAGGAAATAATTTTGACTCGTTAGTAAAAATTTTCCATTGTACTGCGCTTATTACTGAGATTGAACATTTCTTATGATGCAGTAATTTGGAGTCAGACTTAAGTGTACTTTTAGGGTTTCCCCCCCCCCCCTTCCCGACGGTCCGTCTGAAACATAAAATGGGTAAGCTTTTATTTTAAAGCTGACTTTATCCTCTGGCTGCTGATTCTACATTCTAGTGTTTAGGCAGACTCCAACTGAGAGAGTAAATGTGGGTGGTTTAGCTACCAGTCATGCAATTGGTCATGGTGGCCAGTGTCTGAACTGTCACTTGATGAACACAGTACAAAAATATTTTCATCTATGTGAATTGCCATTAGAGATTATTGTAATATTTATTTAAATTCAAAATAATTGAATTCTTAGCATAGGTAATCACATGATAAATACAGATTAGTGTAATTTCAGTGACATTGAAATAATTTGCCACACAAACATATGACCATTGCCTATACGCTTGTCTACAACCTGCATCATTTGAAGGACACCTCTAGCCATTGTCAGACAGTTGTCTTTTGTGGTGCTTAGAAAGCTGTCAAAATTGAACAGTTTTGAATCACAGATTTAAAAACTTGCTGTATCAGAAGATTGAATGTCAAAGGACTGAATTGCACCCTTCATGGAAGAGAAATCAAAATTCTATGACCCTTTAAATGCTTTGTCAGTATTTTGAGTTGTGTGTTAGAGCACTGCAAAAATTATGCGTAAGTACGATCCCTCTTCATCACTGTGTGGGCACTGGTTTCATACTTCAGCGATGAAGTGATGTGCAAAAGGGCCTTATTTCAGAGAGAATTTTCTCACTGGCAGTGAAATGGACCGCGTAAATTCTTTTCCCCTTTGAAATGTCATCTGTTGACAATAGTGACTGCTACTTGACTAAGAGTCCAGCAACACCAACTCACAAGTAGAGACTAATTTTGGAACATTTTATTTGTTATCCTTAATGTCAGATGGTAACATGAATGTCTTTAATCCTGTGTTAAAGAGGCAGCAGGAACTTCATACTTGGGGCATTTTGGTTATTGGAACAGAAAGAACTGTATTTTCAGTGTCATGAAAGAAGAGGTAGAAAGATTGAATGGGGGTGTAGAAAGGAGGAGTAAAAATGATTTCAGAGCTGTCTTTACTCTTAAGGCAGCAATCAAAAAGCAGAGCACCTACAGAGTTCTGCTTATAGGTTAAGCATGTTGTTCACCATGTGTTCATTCCTTCATTGAAATCCTCTTTTTCCCCACAGTGCAAAAGGTTGAAATGCACTGAACTTTGAATCTAGGAAACCATTGTTAGGGATGAGGGGTAGGGGAATCTCAAGCTTCCAGTATTTGAGATTGTTTGGTTTTGTTTCCATCTGCATTTCCTTGTTTCAGTAAAATCTCTTTAAAAAGAAAATAAATAAAAATCAACAACGAATGAAAACCTTAGAAATTCCAAGTCATCTATCAAGAATAGAAATTTTTTTTAGTTTTCATATCACTAGGCTGTATTTTTGCTTGTGTGGACTTTTGCTTGTGTGGCTTAATTAATTTATAATGTAACGGTGACATACATTTTTCTGTCAGGTCTGGTTTAGTGTAATACACATGGTTTCATCTGTCTTTTCAGTAGAAAGAGTAAAGGTCTGAAGAAATCATAGATGATGGCTTCTGATGCTAGTCATATGCTGGAGGCAGCGTTGGAACAGATGGATGACATCATTGCAGGTATAATAATGCTTTATTTTTACACCAAACTATTTTGAGATTTAACTATGTTTGTCTTTTTCCCTCCTGCAATTTTCCTGGTGGGTTTTTTTTTTTTTTCCTTTTTAATTATTATTCTCAGTTTGTCAAGTTCTCTGTGACACACAGATTTCTATGGTTCAACAGTTATGTGAAGAAAATTTAAAGCAAAATAAAGGAAGAAAACCTGCAATTCCACCTCAGGCATGAATATTGAAGTAAGAGAGATTTACTTTTCTCTAATGCTATATGGTAACTTAAACACATCCTAATTCATGTGGTATCATTCCATATTGTATGTGTTAGTTTTTTATTTCAGTGTGTCTTTGAAAAAAGTTTTCACCAAGGCTTCCAGTTAGCTGGATAGTATATATCTGTATTTTACACGCATACATAGATATACATAAATATGTGTGTATATATAAAAATATACATAATTTTCTTTATTTATTATGTATATATTTAAAATAGCTTAGCTATTAATTACCTTCACGGCCTAATGAGTTAGAGTGCATATCTTTTTGTTGACATTTATATCCAGGAGTGGAGATACGAATTTCTTTTTACACAGCTGTCCACTAGAAAGGCCTATGATGCGAGACAGCATTTACTGTCTTTTGGTGCTCTCATGGTAAGGCAATTAAAAAAATTTTCTCTCAACGTTACAGTATTCAAGAAGAGAAGTTAATTTCTGTGGTTAGGACTCAGTAGCCTTGGGGTTTGTGCTCACACACCATTCAGTATGAGCTCCTAAAAGAAGTATCTGGGTAGGGCCATGATCTCACTTGTGCACAATGGGAAAACATTCACTAAAGCTTTATAAATTTAAATAGTGACACCCATGCTGTGCCTTCTTTTTTTTCCCCCCCCCTAATGATGAAGATGACATCAGCCTCTTGTTGCTGCAGTTGTGCTTCTTCCTGCTCTTCTAGTAAAGCTTTCTATCCAGAGACTAATATGGAGCTTCAAATATTACCATCAGACTAGTCATGATTAGGCAGGAAGTCATTATCCAGAATTTTTGGTTCAAAGAATGTCTAGATTTTTTTTTTCCTCATCTCATCTCACATATGAGTCTTCACTCTATTCTAAATGTGCAAGCTTTAACAGACTGCTAAGACATACAGAAGTGTAAATGTGAATATGTGACAGATATAACTCCACAAATAACTCTTCACACCAATGGAACAAGTTCAAGGCAAATAGGAAAATTTAGATATGTATTTCCTTCTCCCTTCTTTTTCTGAATGCAAAACTTTATTCAAACAAGATTTTGACACACAGAAGTTAATTGGGATTTTACTTTTTCACCTCTTACAAAACACATAAACAGATAGTCAGGGAAGCATTGGACTTCCCTTAGATATGTAAAGAGGGAAAAAGAAAAGCAAGTCCCAAACCATAATTCATAAACTAGGGAACTGAAATAATTTCTTAGCCATTGCAAACCTTGGGTTATGATCCTGGCTAGTGCTATGAAAGAGACAAAGTAACATAGAAGCCCATGTTCCTTTAATTATCCTATGGAACACTTATTTTCTTCCAGGAGTTGCCAGAGCTTTGTGGTACGTTTTCATTTGAAGGAAAGAGTTAGAAAACTTGTCATGATTTTGAGGATTTTCAGGTTTGTCATTCCATAGGATTTCATCTGCTTCAATCTTTTCTGTTAATAGATTGTGCTTCCAGCCTGTCTCAAATTGTCCTCTCAAGTACTTCTCTTATGAGCAGTAAAAGACCATGTATTCAACAAACAGGTCTATTGCCTTGCTTATCTGAGCAGTGCTATATTTTGTTTAGAAAAAATTTCAGTTTTACTTGAAGATGCCATTTCATATTCCCTTCAAAAAAGTTTTGCAGACTTACAGGCTGTATGGTTTTTCCACTGAGAGGATAACATTGCTACTCATTGCTAGCATTTCCATGAATAGAAGCTCTGAAAAATGGTTGTTGTGAGGCTAGTTCTGGGTAAGACAATAGGTGTTTAGCGTTGGGTATTTTTTCCATGGTATGGGAAGATAGCCTTGTAGTATGTGGCATAACTGATTAAATGGCAATATATGACTGCCTAAGAAAATCACATATTTCTTCTAGTTTCATGCTAGAAAAATAATTGAGGTTGGAAGCCAGGTTTGATTTTTTTTTTTTGTTTTTAATACTCTTTTCCTTTTCCCCACTCCTTTTTCAGATTGTTTGTGCCCATAACATTTTAGGGCTTAATCTTGATAAATAAGGAATAGAATTAAATTGTTCCAGGCTTCCAAACAACATCACTTTTACCCCCCTCACTTAGTTGCCATGATGGTGGAGACAGTGATACAGAGAAGCAAAGCAAATGATGGAAGAAATATTCTGTGTGAATCAGCAGATTGCACATCCCATTCACAGCTGTTTTGTAGTGGTGTTGGTGCCCAAGCTCTAAAACAAAAAGGTTCAGGCATGCTAGTGGTATGTAGAGTTTGTTTCCACAGTGCATGGGTAGGTCATGAGCAAATTGGCAACCTCTTCAAGAGAGCTGACTTTATGACTTCACATTACGTACATTTTTAGTCTAATGTCCACTGATACTCAGTGTAATATGGAAAACAGGCTTATATAAAGATATCTAATGGGAAAAGAACAAAGATATTTCCCAGACAATGCATCTGTCAAGTCTCATCAATGTTAATTGAATACTTCCCATATGATTTCAGAATTAGATCTACCTGTACCAATAAAAAAACATATTGCTTTATTCCTTTATTTTTAGTTATAACATAAAGTAAAAGCTCAATTGGGTGGGAAGGTTTTTTGCCTTATTTATTTATTTATTATTTTCCATTACTAAAAATAGATAAGACATTTTAAGACAGGTTGAATTAAGTCGTTCTGGTCATTCTCCTCTAGCTAATGTTCTATGTGTTCCAGAACTGTTTCTTGAATATTCTGGTATGATTGAAGGACCAAATATATCTGCTGGAGCCTATACTTGGATACAGTTATTATTCCAATTCGTCTCAAATTGAGGAACATAGTAATTATTCAAGTTTGATTCTCTCTAATTCAATCCAGTAAGCTTCTCTATGCAGTTTGGGCAGGGACTGGAAAACAGGAATGTTCTCTTGTCCTGTATGGCGAGAGAACAAATAAGGTAGGAAACTCCTTCAGAAGGAGGACTGGAGGACTGTCATGAAACAAACCAGGACTGAGAGTCTTCTAACTGCAGATTTATATATACCATATTATGCAAATATTGGACAAATCATCTGTGCAAATGTAGCTGCTCTTAGAGTAGACTGGAAACAGCAAAAAATCAACTGTTCAGAGCTTGTGCTATTTCAGTTCACCGTATCCAGATTCCGTGTATCTCTAGGTAGCATTGGATTCAAAGACTAAGGCTAAACTTCATGACTGTTGGAAACTTATGTAGCTGATAAAAAAGATGTTTCCTTTGGAATGAGGCCTGAGTGGGTATTAGGAGAGCTATGCTCTTCTCTTGGCCTCAGAAACCTTTGCTTTAGGCACAAAATGAGCATTAATCGCTATTTTAGAGAAGTGAGAAGTCCAGAGATGTGTAATTTGCATTGGTTAATTTTTGAAGCTTGAGTACATGTTTATATATACACATGCAAAACCAGCATTCTCTCTGTTTAATGCGAAAACAGTCTTGATTTCTTTTATTAATTGTAGTTGTTATTAAAATATTAGATTGTGGTCTTGTCCTTTAAGGTAAGAACTGGGCATGCAAATACATATTACAAACATTTACAGATTTGCAGTCCTACTTTTAGCCTTCTAATTTTAAAAGTCAGGTCTCTTACTCCAACTGTTAACATAGCTCATACATGATTCTGATTAATCCAAATAAAAAGTCTCACTGTAGATTGTGCATCTCGCTGCAATTCAAAATGTATTAGTGTTTAGAGTGCATGAGGGTAGGATTGTGAAGCAAGATTAACAAATTGAATTTCATTGGGCTTGATCAAATTTGACAGATAGGTCAGTGTTCCCAAGTCTTCTATGCTTCAGTACATCTGTACTGATAACCCACCCTCATAGCTATATAAATTAGGCATGCTAAATGATTAGCCTTATTTGACTAAAATAGCAAAAAGGGCTAATGTGATTGTCAGTGAACATTACTTATCCATTAGCTAGAATGACTTGCACTCCAAACAGAGGCTTTCTCTAAAGAAAGCGCCCATATGTCAGATCTGTCTATACATTCTTTATTTGAGGTGCATGACTTTGGCATTGCTTCCCTCTGAGGTTTGACCAAGTCATTACTTTCCCTTTTATTCAGCTTGTACCCATTTATTAAAATTCTTTATAGGACTATAGATTTTGATTTTTTTTTTCTTTGCAATATATCCTAATGAATTAAAATAATTTTTATATCAAACTGCTTATCTCTGCCAACAATCTGGAAATCCATTATTTCCTTTTGTGAATTCTGACCATAATTGGAAGATCTAAAAACTCCTGTCACAATATTATAGTCTGCTGCAGCTCCGGTCTCTTCAAATGCACCAAGTAATCAGTGTAATTATTGAGTTTCCTTTTAACCAGAGCTCCTGCAATTATTGCTTACTGAAAAATAATGAGAAAGTTAAATGTGTTATCACATGGGTGTGTACTGATATTTCAGTATTAGTACTGAAAGATTAAAAAATATAAATAATTAAAAAGTTTGTCAAGAAGTTGTCCAAGAAGTATGCATGTTTAAATTCCCTTCTCTTGAGGTGGCAGAACGCTTGTGTTCAGTTCATTGCTTTGGCTGTGTGCTACAAACCCAACCACTTCCCACACCCGTGCTGAAAAAGGGGACTTTAGAGGAAATTATACTGAAGAGATGAACAAGATTTTAATTCCAGTTTAATATATTTTCCTTGTGAGATCTACTTGCCAGAATTTGAAGGAGGACCTGTTTGTGGGGTTTTTTGTGGTTTTTTTTTTCTTCTTTTTTTCTTTTATTGTTCTGTCCCATCATAATTTTACTATGAAAA